CGGTGTGGTCACAGCTGGCTGGCATTGTCAGAGACCTCTGGCTCCCCTTGCTGTCAGGGGTCCCCATTCCCTGCACCTCCTTCTTCAGTTTTGCCACTGTGGGCCCAGCCCGGGGGCTCTGCACTGAAGGGTGCCGCCTGTAGGTCCCCCACGTCCTGGGGGTCGGCAGTGGGGTCTGCTCTTCCTCCCGGGCTCCTCACCTCCCATCTATCCTCCCTTCTCTGCTGACTCAGCCCAAGGACAGCTGCAGGGACCGACTTACAAAGGCCTCTGACCCCACAGCTCCCATGGTCACATGAGGCCTACAGTCATCCTGGTGTGTCACTCCGTGTCCTGTCTCAGGATCCATCCCTAACCAGCAAGGAGGTTAGGTTCAACAGATGTTAAATGAATGAATAAATGAGTACTTGAACAAATATTTTGGCTGTTTTATAGCGTCAAGTATCAGACCTAAAACTGAAAGTGATCCTATTTTTCCAACCTTCCCTAAAGGATAAATAATTAACTTATATTGCAACATGTTCTCCCAGAGGGGCCCCATGATCACAGCATTTTAAGGTAATACAGATGGCTCTCAATGGAGTGATTAAATTACATCTACATTACATTAGTCGGTGATAAAGGTGTTGTGACTTTGTGTGTTTTGATGATGACTTTATTTTAGGGTATTGTAACTATATATTCTCCTCCCTGAGGACGAAGTGGGGAGGAAAGGCGGGGATGCTGGCAGGTATTGGATGTGCATCGACCATGAACTTCAGCCTCTGTGGCCCACGGGTGCTGGGCCACTGGGAAACGGTTGAATAGTTGGCTGAGTGGCAATTGCTCCTGTCAGGAAATCTAAGCTAATATTATGTCCAACTGAAAAAGGAAGCCAAGAAAACAAAAGCAGATGCAGAATGTCAATCTGAAAAAAAAAATGGTTTTATATTTTATTATTTAATGTTATTTTGTACAGATGAAGTCTCACTATGTTGCCTAGGCTTGTCTTGGACTCCTGGGCTCAGGCAATCCCAACCTGCCATACCTGTGCCCCCATCCCCTGCCTCCACCTCCCAAAGTGCCCTGGGATTAGAGGCATGAGCCACTGCCCCCTGCTGCAATCTGAAATTAATGCCTATGTCAAGTTGAGGGACTGCTCAAAATATTGGAGAAGTCCAAGACTGAATGCCCCTACGCTACACAGAGGTCTAATGAGATCTTCCAAACATCAACCAACCGAGTGAAGTTACTCCCTCGAATGAATCTAACTTTCAAAATCTTTACACCAAGTTATCCTTTAGCACTGGCATCCAGGATTCCTTTTCCTGTGGGGGCCATGAGGAGATGAATTTATCTGTCCTGGGGCGGAGAGCTGAAGAACAGGCAGAGGGGCCTGGATTTGCAGCCTGGTTTCCAAAGACGTGGACCTTGGGTCATCCCTGGCTCTAAGTCCTGGCTCTGTGGCCAGCTGTCTGATCTGGAGGGCATTACTCACCCTCTCTGTGGTCCAAGTTTCCCTCCGTCAGGTGGAGGCTTGAGTGAGATGTCTGTATGGGCTTAGTGCAGACCAGGCCAAACACTCGGCTTTGCTCTGCTTTCATTATGGCAGCTACATAACAGCAGTCCCCATGCTTCAAAAATGAAATCACACCTTGTTCACATCCATCTTCAGTCTTTTCAGTCTTTTTAGGTAGACTGAGTCTAGCCTTTCAGGGTCTCCCAAGAGTATATATCTCAGACCTTTATCCAACTATAAGCCCCTAATCAAATATCCAAAACCTTCCTGAAAGAACACCCACTTGGAGATGGTTCTTGTTCGTGCCACATGTATATTCTTTTGGATAAAATGGTAAACAAGTAAAAGAAATAAAATCTTAATCTCCTCTAATATAACAGACCAGCAAGATTTGTAAATCTATTTTGAAACAACTATCTTTTCACATTAAAAATGATTCCAGGAATGTGTGTTTCATTTTCCTTCACATTATTACAATCACTTTCAAGTCTTGGGTAATTTCTAGACTGTGCTGTGGCTCCAGCAGCTGTGTCTCACGGGAAATGCAGACACGCCAGTCTGGCTGGTGAAGGGGGATGTGGAAAGCTCACAGCCCCTCCTTGGACAGCCACATTGCTCCCCCAGAGCCATCAAAGTAGGCCCACCCATGAGGCTGAGGGTCTGGGACATTTCCAAGGGGAGGGTGCTCCTGAGCATTTTCTCCAGGAGCAACCCTAACTTCTGGGCAGACGCCTGGCTCCAGCCAAAAGCCTCGTCCAAGAACATCATGATCTCAGTCCCTGCTGGCCTCACGCTAGGACCCTCCCAGCTGGGGAGCCTCCTAGGCAGCAGTGGGGGAGAGTTCCACATGGTGTCTGACGCCCTGGGCTGTCCCTGGTTCACAGCCTTGATAATAAAGGTGAGAGAGAGAACAGGAATTTGGCCTCGGGCCACTGTGGGTTTGTATCTAGGGTATCCTACACTAAATCTGGGATTGTTCAACCACTCAGAACTTCAATGTCCTCAATTATAAAACAGGAAAGATTCCTGGGTATGGGAAGCGTCAACAGTGGGATGTGTAGATTTCATGATCGGTAGGTGCTGCCTGGTCAGTGGTGGTTAGTGTCGCTTGGACGATGGGACGGGAGCAGGGTCACTGGTTGGTGGGGCATACAGGAAGGTATGCTGGGGCCCTGGGGCAGCAGAAAGCTTTCCCTGCTTGTAATGGTGCCAAGAACAAACACAGCCACACAACATGCAATGGAATGAAACCAACCAAGGAGTGTGTGGTACCTTTTATTTAGTCCGTCTTTATTTAAACGTGTGCTTTTGAAATTGCTTAATATGACCTTTTCAGAATTCAATTCTCACAGTATTTACAGTGAACTTTGTGCAAACAAATCTGACTGTGAGCTTCCTGCTCTCCCTTTCACACTAATAACTTACAAATTCAGATCACAACAAAACCCCAGACTCTAGTTGTCTGTTTGAAAGGTACCGAGCTGGATAATAGGTTGCTAGGAAAGAGCTAAGTAAGGCAAGCCCAAAGGAAATAAAATGTTTTCTTTATCAGAAAAGAATAATAACAAGGCTTTGCTCTCCAAAGGAAAACATATGTCCCAAGATGTTGTGGAGCAGTATTCAGCAACCAAACACATTTCCAATGCTATTTATTTCCCCTTCATTTTTTTATACTTACACTCATCTCTTAATTAAATAAGCAAAACCAGAAAAGTGCAATTCGAAGGGACTCTGGACTGTCAGGGAGTATTATAAAAATAATCCGGGCCAGGTGCAGTGGCTCACACTTGTAATCCCAGCACTTTGGGAGGCCAAGGCGGGCAGATCACCTAAGGTCAGGAGTTCGAGACTAGCCTAACCAACATGGAGAAGCCCCATCTCTACTAAAAATGCAAAAATAAGCCAGGCTTGGTGGTGGGTGCCTGTAGTCCCAGCTACTCAGGAGGCCAAGGCAGGAGAATTGCTTGAACCTGGGAGGCAGAGGTTGCAGTGAGCCGAGATCGCACCACGGCACTCCAGCCTGGGCAGCAAGAGTGAGACTCTGTCTCAAAAAAAAAAAAAAAAAAAAAAAAAAAAAGTAATCTGACTTCAATGACTAAAGAGTATGGGTCATCAAGCTGCCAGCTGCCTCCCACATGGGCACTGGTCAGAGAGGCCATAGCTGCCGGAACGGGAGGTGTGGCAGACCCCACATCACCTGCCTCAGGGCCCATGCCTGGCAAGGAGGAAACACACACCTAGGCCTAGCCAAGGGCGGTGCCCTGCCTGGTAATTCTTTAGGTATAAAATCTACAAAGGGGACCAGTCCTGGAGAACGTATTTCTCTTCCCCTCTCTGGCAGAGAAATATCTGGCTGAAGAGAAAGTACACAACACACAAGTATTGTAAAAAGGAGAGTTCCTGTGGAAGGCAGTGACTCATGATTTAGAAACTGAAGTATAAGGAATACAGCTCAACAATTGTGCCTTGAATGTCTTGTAAAATATTGCTTTAAAATCCCGTTTAGATGCTTGATATCTGAAATGAAACCATGGTCTTTTAAAATATTTTTGATTCCATGCCTTTTTATAAGGAAGATGAATTAACACCTCCATCATACTAGTTATAAGAGACTATTCAGGACCGCAATTGTATAGGTTTTCTATGTTTTCACTGAAGACTGTGATAAGCAATGATAGAATGACAGCTTATTAGAAAACAAATTGAAAAAAATGTATGGATTGATTTGAGAATTTTTTCATGCATGAATCATTTCTCCTTCCTATGGTTATATACTCCTACTGATAAAAGTTCCCCACTGAGACTCCTGGACCCATGGTTTTGTGCCTGCTGGGCATCCCACTATGGTGATTCCTGCTCTAAAACACACTCACCGCAGGAAGCACTCACCCAGGACAATTATGAAGGAACTATTCTGTCCCTCACTCAACCTCTGGACGTCAATATGGAACAGCTGTGACTCTCTCCAGAGCCATGTGTTTGCAGTTCTCCAGTGAGCGGGTCATACCCCATGGGTCCCCTATTCCTCGGGACCCTTGTTGATCTATCTGTTCCCATTCAGTTGCTCCTTTGCTCAGCTGAACGTGGGAGGTGCGGGGGCCAGGCTGAGGAGCTGGGATGGAATTTGGGACAGGGAGTGAGGAGAGATCGAGCTGAGAGGGACCACTGGATCCCGAGAGGTGTGGACGCGATTTCAGTCCAGAGACACTGGGCAGAAATGAAGGACACACAATGACTAAAAACATTAATGTTACTTTCTGGGACCTCTTGGTGCCTGGAGCCATCTGTGTGTCTACCTACAGATGGGCAAAGCACTTCCACACTCTGGCCCCATTCCCGATTCTCCCCTGAGAACTCAGTCCTCCTTGAGGAGTTGGTGATGCCTGTCATTTGAGCTCCCATTTAGTGGCTCATGGTGACCAGAGGCTCATGTCTGCAAGTTAAAATTGCTTTTATCAACATCTACTACAATGGCTCTGATTTCACATAAATAATCACAGACTTGAATAAAATGAATATATTATTCTAGGTTAATTTTTTTCCATTCAAATGTTTATATTCGGTCTACCCAGAACAATTAAAACAGAAAAAATAGGCACCTCCAAAGTCTTCCCAGGAATGATGACTTTGAAATGACATGTTGTACAAACTGGACAAATGAGACGAATGACTGTGACGGGCGCCGGGGAGCTCGTTAAGGGGCCGTTTTCTTCAAGTCTCGGATCTGCTTAATCAAGTAGTTCTTCTCGTCAGCGAACTGCTCATCATCCGTCCTTTCTTTTTGGAAGCTGCTCAGAAACTCAATGAGTTTGGGCTGATTTTTTAACAGAATCTCCACAATAGGCTGTGTTTTGTGAGGACTGGCTACAAACACCTGAAACAAAAAGAAACAAATACGTACTTAGGACAGGAGTGCTGGCTAGAGAACTCACCCACACTGCTATTCGTGCTTCATGTGTGACTGATATTATTAATGTAGAGAAGCCCCTCACTTTAATTCTCAGTGAGGGTGATCAATACGGTCATGCGCCATATAATGACGTTTCAGTCAACTATGGACCACGTATACAACCGTGGTTCCATAGACCATAATGGAAATGAAAAATTCCCATCGCCGTGTGATGGCATAGCTCCACGCATTTACTCGTGTGTCTGGGGTGATGCTGGTGTAAACAAACATGCTGCCTGGCCAGTCACATAAAATTCAAGCCCATACAAGTATGCACAGTGCATAATACTTGATAACGACTACGGTACTGGTTTATATATTTATTATACCTCTAATTGTTATTTTAGAGTATACTCCTACTTATTAAACAAAAATTTAGCTATAAAACAGCCTCAGGCAGATCCTTCAGGAGGTATCCAGAAGAAGGCATTGTTATCAGGAGGTGACTGCTCCATGGGCGTTATGGCCCCTGCAGACCTTCCAGGGGGACGAGATGTGGAGGTGGAAGCAGTGGAGGCCGAGACTAATGTGTTTGTGTCTTAGTTTTTGACAAAACAGTTTAAAAAGTAAAAAGTAAAGAACTTTAAACCTAGAAAAAAGCTTATAGAATAAGAATGTAAAGAAAGAAAATATTTTTGGACAGCTGTATGATGTGTTTGTTTTAAGCTAAATGTTATTGCAAAAGAGTCAAAACATTTTTAAAAATTAAAAAAGAAACTTTTTATAAAAGTAAAAAGTTACAATAAGCTAAGGTTATTTTTATGTATGTATTTATTTGAGACAGGTCTCGCTCTATGGCCCAGGCTGAAGTGCAGTGGCACCATCATAGCTCACTGCTGCCTGGGATGCCTGGGCTCAAGTGATCCTCCTGCCTCAGCCTCCCCAGTAGGAAGGACTACAAGTGTATGCCACTGCACGTGGCTAATTAATTTTTTTTTTTTGTAGAGATAGGGTCTCACTATGATTGCCAAGGCTGGTCTCAAACTCCTGGTCTCAAGCAATCCTTCCAACCTCGGCCTCCTAAAGCTGTGGGACTACAGGCCTGAGCCACCATGTCTGGCCCTAAGGTCAACTTATTATTATTAAAAAAAAGAAAAAAATTTAAGAAATCAAATTAGTGTAGTCTAAGCAGTGTTTATGAAGTCTATAGTAGTGTTCACTAATGTCCTAGGCCTTCACATTCACTCACCACCCACTCACTCACTCTCCCAGAGCAACTTCTAGTCCTGCAAGCTCCATGCATGGTAAATGCCCTATATACGTGTACCATTTTTTCTCTTTTATACCATATTTTTACTGTATTTTTTCTATGTTTAGATACCCAAATACCATTGTGTTACAATTGCCTGCAGTATTTAGTACAGTAACATGGGGGACAGGTGAGTGCTCTAGGTGCAATATCCTGTATTACATAGCGCATATTACATAGCCTGTATTACATAGCTCATATTACAAAGCCTGTATTACATAGCCTAGGTGTGTGGGAGGCTCCACCATCCAGGTCTGTGTAAATGCGCTCTGTGATGTTCCTGCAAGGACGACATCACCTAGAGAGCGCGGTTCTCAGAACAACTCCCCGCTGCTAAGTGCCGCAGGCCTGCACTTCACCTTTCCTATCGGTCTCTTTAGTTACTAGCTAGGAGTACGTGGGAACTATATATAAACATTCAAACTTTTACTTTGTTTTACTTTTAAATATTTGTTAACTATAAAATAACATAACAAATACCAGTACACTCACCTCACAAATTGAATACATTTTGCCATTGTGCTTCAAGTGTCTCTTTTTAAAGAAAGAAAACGTTTTACAAATGGAACCAAACCCTCACCTTCCACCTTTTCCCTCCCCCGCAGCAGTGTGCCACCATCGCTGGGCATGTTTTAATGCCTTTCCTCCTACTACAGAGATATGTAAACATAAACAACATATAGTATTTCAGTAAGCTTATGGTTTTTAAAGTTTTTTTTTTAGATGGTGTTTCACTCTTGTTGCCCAGGCTGGAGTGCAATGGTGCATTCTCAGCTCACTACAACCTCCACCTCCTGGGTTCAAGTGATTCTCCTGCCTCAGCCTCCCAAGTAGCTGGGATTACAGGCATGCGCCACCATACCCAGCTAATTTTGTGGTTTTAGTAGAGATGAGGTTTCTCTATGTTGGTCAGGCTGGTTTTGAACTGACCTCAGGTGATCTGCCCACCTCTGTCTCCCAAAGTGTTGGGATTATAGGTGTGAGCCACCTTGCCTGGCCCCATAATTTATTTTTTGAACACATAATATCATCACCTGGTTCAAAATTCAAAAAGGACTGATATGAATAGTCCTCCTCTCACCTTCCCTCCCTGTAAGCCACCAGTGTCACTGTTTGTCATGATGTAAAACTTTAAAAATTACAACTGCCCAGGTCCTACCTTCCAGAGATTCTAACTCAGACTCAGCAGGTCTGCAGTGGATGCCTGGCATTCTGTATTTCTATGAAGTTCCACAGAGATTCTTATGAGATCTCTTGGTGGCAGCCATGATCTGATACTGACTGGTGCACTATTCTGTAATAGACACACTCCTTAGTTACTGCTACATATATGACTAAATGACCAGAATGGAGAGCCCTACAGAGCTCTCTGGTGTGATGCTCTGGCCTTTTGCCTCTGCCTGGCACTCTCTCTGCCCACCCCAGCCCTGTCACATAGCTGCACAGTGCCCAACTCTACAGGGAACACATTACGAAAGGTCTTTATGGTGCAGTGGGGGTTACATGGCTAAGCCCTTAAGGTTCCTCCACCCTAGCAAGTGTGGGGAAGGAGAAAACTACACTAGGATGTTGAATACCAATGCAGGGAATACAAGGCTGCGGAGGATCCCATCCCAGGAGATGGTGATGAGATTACATTTCCAGGTTTGGAACAGGAAGGCTGGTGGTGTAGGCGGCATGAGAGCTAGTCCATGAGTCAGGCAGGGAATGTTTACATGTGGTGGTGAGAAGAGCAGCATTCCAGGAATACCGAATTGTCCCAGTGCACCTCTGAAGTGGGCGGGACAGGACGTGGGAGCAACAGTAAGAATGAGTAAGGGAACGTGGTAGCTAAGGCGGCACCGGCTCTTGGACCTGGGTTCAAATTCCACATCTCCTACATGTTAGCGGTATATTCACCAGCAAAGTTTTGTTATCTAGAAATAAAAGGACCTCTTCCTGTCTGAGTGGAGAGACTATGCTGGAGAACATCAGCACATGTAAGTCTCCTGAAAGTCTTCTGTTGCCACTGTGTGTGTGGACTTAGGCTTGCTGGAGGCAAAGTGCCCAACCTGAATTCAAGGCCTTACCACTGCCCCATCACCCTAATTCTGGTCAACTGTACACACGACCATGGGCTGCCAGTTCATAGCCCTCCAAGCTGGTTGTCTTCACTCACAGGGCTGTTTCACACTCATTGAACACTCGACCCTCACGACAGCCCTGAAGTGTAAGAGTTTTAGCCTCATCTGTTAATAAGGAGACAGGCTTAGTCATGTTAATAAACTTGACTGCATAGTATTATGGTTAACAGCACAGACTCAGAAGCACACAGCTTGGGCCCAAATCCTAGTACCACCTCTTAATAGCTATATGATCCTACAAAACTTGTTTATCTCTCTGTACCTCAGTTTATTCATCTGGAAAATGGGGATGATGACAATACCTGCATGCCATTAGATAACTCTAAGGCTTACTGAGAACAGGATACGTATTCTACTCCATGCATTCGAATGGTGCATCATTTCTATGATATAAATATGATATATAAATTCTTCATGTTTCTGTTCTTTCCATCAAAGATCATGAGCTCACTTTCCCAGCAAGCGCTAAGGAGTACAGAGCCCTCTCTGGGAACACTGCACGTCCCTGTGGTCATGAGTGGCTCATGATGAGACAGTCTCTTGGCAGCCCACATGGCTTACTTAGAGTGAGCCCACCTTTCAGCCAGGCCAAGGGACCCACAACAGGGAAGGAAGAGGGTCTCCTAAGCTTCCAGTTGGTGGGTCTACAGCTGTGAGTTGACAAGAAGGAACTGATCTTTGACCTTCGGGACTGTAAAGTATCCTAGGCTCCTTTTAAACAGCCAATGGGAAAAAGAAATCACAAAGAAAATTAGACAACACTTTGGGACAAATGAAAACAAAAACAAAACATATCAAAACTCACGAGATGCACTGGAAGCAGTGCTCAGGGGAGATAAATGCCTACATTAAAAAAAGAAAGATCTCAGATTAGGAAACTAACTTTATAGCTTAAGGAACCAGGAAGAGAACAAACTAAACCAAAGAAACATAAGAAAGGAAATCATAAAACTTAGAGAAGAGATAAACAAAACAGAGGACGGGAAAATAATAAAATCAATGAAACCAAAAGTTTGTTCTTTGAAAAAAATCAATAAAATTGATAAACCTTTAGCTAGATTAAGAAAACAAAGAGAAGACTCAAACGGTAAATGAAAGTAGGAACATTACTAATGGCCTTAATAGAAATAAAAGGGGATTATGAGAGACTGCTATGAACAATTATGTACCAACAAACTAGACAACCTAGATGATGACATGGCCAGATTCCTAGAAACATGCAGACTACCCAACTGACTCAAGAAGAAACAGAGCCTGCAGACCTCTGACAGGAGATTGAATCAGTAATCAGAAACTTCCAACAACAACAACAACAACAACAACAACAACAACAACAACAACAGACCAGAACCAGATGGCTTCACTAATAACTTCTACCTAACATTTAAAGAAGAATTAACACAAATATCTCTCAAATTCTTCTGAAAAATAGAAGATATGGGAATACTTCCTAACTTATTCTATGAGGACAGTATTACCCAAATACCAAAGCCAGAGAAAACAACACAAAAACTACATATCAGTATTCCTTATGAATAAAAATACAAAAAATC